TCTGGAGGGAAGCGTCACATGCCCTCAGGACTTTAGTCCTTTCCTGTGTGTCAGTTGTTTTACCTGCTAGTACAAGAACCTTAGGCAAAGTCAGGGGAGGCTGCAATGTCCCTTCAGATAAACAGCTAAGATTCGTGAAGGTCAGAGTACTTCTAGAAAACTGCTGTTCTCTCCGGTGTTTAATCCTAGATGCAGGGAAGCTCTTTATCCTAGTACTACCCCAGATACAGTGACTCTACTAAATTCCTACAACAGGAACTTGCTGTATAGATCAAGCTGGCCTTGAACTCAGAGACCCTCTTGCCTCTGTCATCTGAGTGCTAGTATTAAAACATATACTGTCACCATTCCTGACAGTTTTATTTTTTTTTTTGAGGGCGGGTGTCTTACAGTTATCACTACTGTGATGAAACATCATACCATGACCAAAGCAACTTGGAGGGGTGTTAATTGGCTTATATTTCTATATCACTATTCATCATTGAAGGAAGTCATCACAGGATAAGAACCTGGAGGCAGGAGATGATGCCGGGCAGAGTGCTGTTTCCTGGCTTGCTTGCTCATCATGGCTGCTCAGCCCGTTTTCTTAATAGAACCCAGGACCAGCCCGGGGATGATTCCACCCACAATGGCCTGGGCCCTCCACTATCAATCACTGATTAAGAAAACGCTCTACAGGCTTGCCTACAGCTCAGTCTTATGGAGCATTTTCTCAACTGGAGTTCTCTCCTCTCAGATGGCCCTGGCCTGTGTCAAGTTAGATAAAATTAGACAGCACACAGAGTCCCTGATGAATTCTGTATAGTACGCTCTGGCCTTGAACTTGCCTTGGCTTGGCCTTCAGAGGGCTGAGGCTGCAGGTGAGTACCACCACAGCTGAGAGCTTTATGGGATTTTTACCAGCATCCTTGGTGTCTACTTCCTACAAGCTAGTAACCCCCCTCACCACTGGTGACAATGAAGCATTCATACACATACTGCTGACTTTCCCTGGATTGTGAGGGGAGTTAGCCTTAGTTGAGAACTGTGGTTTTAGATTTGATTTTGCCCCACTGATGATGTGGTATTCTTCTGAAACCCCATGAATTGTGAACTGTTGGTTAGTCTGATTGGAATTGGCTTTTGTGGTTGTTTATATTGGGAATGCTTTTGGATGGTTTCTTTATTTTGACACATGCATGTTCTGATGAGTATTCAAGGGAGACTCTGTGTATCTCTGCAGTTCTCCGTCTGAGTGTTTCTGTGGTATTCAGCCCCACAAATACAGGCTTTTTGATCAGCTCAGCTCAGCTTGTCTTCCAGGCTTCAACTCACCTGGGTTTCTTGTCTTACGCCTCTCCTGGTCTAAAAGCTCTCAAGGTATTAAGCTGAAGTAATATGAGCTACCTCATTTGCTTACTGTCTCTCTGGAATTCAGCTTATAGCCATCATTTTGAATCTTTTTCATGTCTTTTTTTTTTAAGATTTTAAAAAAAAAATTATGTGTACAGTGCTCTGTCTATGTGTGTGCCTGCAGGTCAGAAGAGGGCACCAGATCTCATTACAGATGGTTGTGAGTCACCATGTGGTGGCTGGGAATTGAACCCAGGACCTCTGGAAGAGCAGGCAGTGCTCTTAAACCATTGAGCCATCTCTCCAGCCCCTTTTTCGTGTATTTTTATTTATTATTTGATTACTTCAAATTAGAGGGTAAATTTTTTTCTATTTTTATAACTTGGCCAGAAGCAGCAGTCCTATTGATAGTAATATTAATTATTATTAATAACTGATAGTAATAATTGATGTGAATCAATTATTAGTTAAAGTGGAAAAGCATCCTTGAACATTTACTGACCAAAATTTTTTTATTGATTTGTATAAAACCAATGTCCGTCGTATACTTTGCTCAGTTTTCGTTCCCTGGAATTCCTGTGGTGCAACATGACTATTAAATGGATGCTGAAGCTTGCTATCATTTCTAATATTCCTTCTTACTACATGTTCTCACAGTTGGGGCTAAGTACTGGTTACTGGGACCCTGTAACTATTATGTAGTAGCACACAATTAAAGGACATGCACTGACCTGATGAGGTAGAGCGGTGAAATGTGTCATGCTTTGAAGGCTTTCCCACAACAAGCTCAAAGGCGTCCAGGAGACTTCTGTGTTCTAACTTGTATTTTCTAGTGGCTGAGGCTTGGGCATCAAAGCCAGTTAGCTTGATTGAAGTTGAAAGAACTGGTGAGTTAATATGGGGGAGAAATGTGAAAGAAGAGAATCATTTTGCTCAGAGTATGAGATGAAACTGTACCAAAGAATAATGCTGCGAGGATGGGAGTGACGTGGAACCCGCTGGTGGTGAGCCATGGGAGAGGAGGGAAAGTAGAAGAATCGAGATAAAGCAGAGAATTTTACTTGTGGATGAGGTTTGCTACTTGGTAACTGCTGCTGAGTTTATAGCATGTCTTGTTAGGTATCCAAGTTTGGTGATTTAGTCAGAGCATACTTGGGAGAAAGGAAGATACAGATGTAGCAGAAAGGGCAAAACCATAGTTCAGGGGAATTTTACATATGCTATATGTAACTGCAGCAGACTTAAAATACAAACCCTTTGTAGATGCATACATTGTTAATTTTTTAAGATTGGAAAAAATGTGGATTGATAATGAAATACAGCTTTAAGCTTTCTGAAAATGAGGGTTGCTTTTTTGGTATCAAGACAATATTTAATGATGGACATTTTCATCTTTGGGTGAATTTCATCAAGGGTGTCTCTTATTTCATGAATACTTTTGATGATATGGGTGAGCTCATTGGTTAAAATATCTGTTTTTGTTCAGTGGTATTAAGTCTTTAACAAGTGTTTGTGTGGGAAGGGACGGCTGTGTAGCATCACCTGCCTTTTGCTTTCCTTAACCTAAAGAAGCTGAGAAGTTGTTCTTAGTCTACAATGTATGCTGTAAAGCCAAGATAAACGCTTAAATCAGGAGATCTGAGCATCATCTGGTCGGGAGGTGAAAAAGATGGACTGTCTCATGCATTCTGGAGACCTGTGTCCTGGAGGATATGCATTTGTACTAATGTTTGGTTTTGCTTTTTAAAGCAAATTGTATAATGAACTTTCACAAAAGAAACCTATATCTCCTCAGAACACTTTACTACAACTTTTTTTTAAGCTAGATATTGATTGTATCATTGTTGATTTTTTAAAAAATAACTCCTGGGGGCTGGAGAGGTGGCTCAGAGGTTAAGAGCATTGCCCTCTCTTCCAGAGGTCCTGAGTTCAATTCCCAGCAGTCATCTGTAATGAGATCTGGTGCCCTCTTCTGGTGTGCAGGGATACATGTAGACAGAACATAATAAATCTTTAAAAAAAAAATAACTCCTGTTTTTAAACATTATTCAGAAGGGAATGTAGTGAGCTATTTGAAATTCAGAAAACCCTCAGGCTTTAAAAGTCAGAGAAGTAGGCACATGAGAAGTAGTTTTGGTTTTCTTTTTTCTGTATCGGCCTTTGCTTCCTATGTATCTGATACACTTTATAAACTTGAAGTAGACCCAGGTTTCACAAAGAAAAGGAACATAAATAGTTGAGCAGGATCAAAGTAGCAAAACTTATCAGTACTTTTAAAAACAGTGCATTAAGTAGCCTTTTATAACTATAATCTGAATTTATAGCTGAATAACTTATAATTATAATCTGAATTTTGCTTCATATTTTTGAGTATATTGAAATGACAGTTCTCTTTTAAAACTTTGACCCCTATCTCCCAGAAGTTCCTTTTCAGTTCTGCAGTGGGACTTTCAAGAACTCAAAGGAACTTAGCTCAAATTCATAGCTATTTTAAAATCTTTTTATCTGTTGGCTAAATTATTTTTTTATATAGTAGATTGAAATGTACAAATCTAAAATTTCCTGGAACAATTCTTTTCCACCTCAAGTGGGGAAAATTTTTCCCATGAACATGACAATTTCAGAGATTTAATTTTTTCCATATGTCTTTTATAGATTGCATTTTATAAAAAATATTAAAATGAGATTTTCCTCTTTCCGTTGTTCTCCATGGTAATCTTTTGAAGTAATTGTTGAAATGCTGTGGAAACTCCACCTGTAAAACACCTTTCTCTAAAGTATTAAAACTGCTGGTATAGCTCAGGGTAGATCACTTGCCGTGTCCTGTATGAGTTCAGAGTCAACAACTGCCCTTCATAAAACCAAAACATCTGCCATCAACCTCTTAAAATGATTAGAATGTTAGTCTGAAGTCACTCGTTACTCGTGGAGGCCCAAAAATGTGAGCCTATTTTCACCTTGTCTAAAGGTCAGAGAGTTGAAACTTACTTCTGTTCCTTCAAGTTTATTGTGTTTCTACCTCAAACAAAGGTCCCACCTCGATTTAGACCAGAGAGTTCTGATCTCTCAGGTTATTGTCAACAGGTGTGGCTAATATTTAGACCTTAAACAAAAGTCTAAGGATCCAACTAAGTTCTACTCCCTTAGGGAGGTGATAAACCCGTGGTTTTATCTACAGGGTTTTTTTTTTTTTTTTTTTTTTTTTTGCCTACAGAATGTTTTGGTCTAGGGTGTGAGCGTGGCTCCTCTTGCCCAGCAATCTTCAACTGGTCTGTTCATTTCCTTGTATCATGTTAAAGTTTTTATCTTACTCCTAGTTTTGGGGGTCATGTATTTTAAACAGTTGGAAATTGAAGCAGGTGATTTTCAGCACTCTCTGGAATCCCTCCCTCCCAGTACCATCCTGTCTCTGTTTTATTTCATGTCTCCGTTCTCTTATCTTTCTAATCCCCATGCCCCTACCTTGGTAAGTGGCATTTTTGTTGAAGCTGGTCTCTGACAATTACTGAATAACTTTTGTTTCTTTGGCTGTTGAAGCCAGTGAGGGCAGTATAGGTACTTTATTGTTTTTGATATGCTTGTTTGCATTTGGTCTTTAATGAAGATGTTGGACTACTGTAAAGATTTTATTAAAGTTTTTGTTTTGTTTTCCTGTTTTCTCTTGCCAGGCAGTGGAGGAAGAAATGGCAGGCCCCAGTCAACTCTGCATTCGCCGCTGGACTACCAAGCATGTAGCGGTGTGGCTGAAGGATGAAGGTTTCTTTGAATATGTGGACATTTTATGCAATAAGCACCGACTTGATGGAATCACTTTACTCACACTGACTGAATATGATCTTCGATCTCCTCCTCTGGAAATCAAAGTCCTAGGAGACATTAAAAGGTTAATGCTCTCAGTCAGAAAACTGCAGAAAATCCATGTTGATGTTTTGGAGGAGATGGGATACAACAGTGATAGCCCTATGAGTCCCATGCCTCCGTTCATCAGTGCTCTTCAGAGCGCAGACTGGCTCTGCAATGGAGAGCCCACGCACGACTGCGATGGACCCGTCACTGACTTGAACTCTGATCAGTGCCAGTACATGAATGGCAAAAACAAGCATTCTGTTCGAAGACTGGACCCAGAGTACTGGAAGACCATACTGAGTTGTGTGTACGTTTTTATAGTATTCGGGTTTACATCTTTCATTATGGTTATTGTTCACGAGCGAGTTCCTGACATGCAGACCTATCCACCACTCCCGGATATATTCTTAGACAGGTAGGTTTTGTTTCTAGAGTCACAGCAGTAGCAATGTGGGTAATTACATTGTGATTGTAGCTGGCATTGCCTTGTCTGGTGCCATCAAAGGACATGCTCTGCCAAGCATGGTGGCACATACTTGTACTCTGGGATCTGAAGTAGGTGGACCACGGGCTCAAACTCTGGGCAGTTTATAAAGGATATTATGTTAGGGGGGTGTTTGTAATGGACTCAGCTGCCTTTTTTTTTTCCAGTAGTACAAAATAATTCAGGGATTGATTTTGTTTTTATTACACACTGAATAAAACTAAGCAAATATATATTAAATAAAAAAGAAATAGTTGAGGGCTGAAGAGAGGTCTCAGCAGTTAAGCGCACTCACTGGCTGTTCTTTCAGAGGACCTGTTTTTTTTTTTAATCTTTTTTTTTTTTTTTTACATTTTATTTATTTATTATGTATACAATATTCTGTCTGCGTGTATGTCTGCAGGCCAGAAGAAGGCACCAGACCTCATTCCAGATGGTTGTGAGCCACCATGTGGTTGCCGGGAATTGAACTCAGAACCTTTGGAAGAGCAGGCAATGCTCTTAACCACTGAGCCATCTCTCCAGCCCGAGGACCTGGGTTTGATTCCCAGCACCCACATGGCAGCTCACAGCTGTGTATAAGTACAGTTCTAGGGGACCCAACACCCTCACACAGACATGCATGCAGGTAAAACATCAATTTAAATTTTAAAAAATTAAATAAAAATAAATGTTAAGAAAAGAGCTGGTGGTGTTGCATGTCTTTAATCCCAGTGCTTGTGAGGCAGAAGCAGGCAGATCTCTGAGTTCAAGGCCAGCCTGGTCTATAAAGCGAGTTCCATGACAGCCAGGGCTACAAAGGGAAGCCCTATCTTGAAAAACCAAAAATAAATATTCTAAGGTTATAAAAAACAAGAAAAGAACAGTGAGTAACAACTGTTTTGCTTAAGTGATTTTTTTTTTTTAAAAAAATTAGCAATACCTCCTTGTTTTTCATTGCTGGTGATTGAACCCAGAACCGATTCCATGTTGGGTCAGTGCTCTTCCACCAAGCTATAGCTGTAAGTACCTTGAGGGGACACTGCCTGTTATAGGTAATAGTATTCTGGTTACTACTCAGTCTGCTCACCTCCTACAGTATACCCAATAAACTATTGTTCCTGCTTATTTAAAAAAAAGAAAAAGGAGTGGTAGTAATGGATTTTAAAACATTGAAGAAAATATTCTATGACTATAGGAAACAGACAAGAAATAGTGGGTGTGGGGCTGGAGAGATGGCTCAGTGGTTAAGAGCATTGCCTGTTCTTCCAAATGTCCTGAGTTCAATTCCCAGCAACCACATGGTGGCTCACAACCATCTGTAAAGAGGTCTGGTGCCCTCTTCTGGCCTGCAGACATGCACACAGACAGAATATTGTATGCATAATAAATAAATTTAAAAAAAAAAGAAAAAAAAAGAAATGGTGGGTGTGAAGGGAAGCTATCTGCATCCTTCAGTGTGCATTTGATTCAGGAAAGTTGTTAGTGGATGCTCAGATGCGTTTGATGGAAAGCCGCTGAGCAGCAGCCTGTTTGCGTTATTGAAGCTTCATCTTTCACTTTACTTAATTGCAGAGGAAACGGTGCTTTATAGCGCTGGGACCTGACAGGTCAGATCCAGCACCACAGCAAGCAGACAGACTTCACCTTGATAATAGTCTTGCCCCACAGGAAATTTTAACCTAAGTTTGATCACGAGGAAATAGTCAGACACACAAAAAGGAGCATTTCACACAATAGCTCACTGGAGTCTCCAGAGAAGTCAGTGTTGTAGTTACAACAGGGGATTGTGAGGGAAATTGAAGGGATACACCAAGGTCAGTACATGGTAATTGGATTCTAATCAAGAAAATTTAGTTGCAAAGAGCATTGAGGGGAATTAGAACGTGTGGAGTGGGTGCTGGAGTGGGTGCGCAGTAAACGGGATGCCGACTAGTGCTGCAGTTCTTGGTGCAGCGGTCTGAAGGTCAGCCTTACTCTCTGAGATACGTGTAGTTAGGGAGGAGATATATCTGTAACTTACTTTGGAGGACTCTAAAATGTGTGAAATGAAACAAATATGGCAAAAATATTAAAAATAGATAACTGAAAGATATAAGTGAAGAGTATTAAGTCTTGTTTTTGTAAGCTTTTTAGAAGGATCACGATTTTTTTCAAATAAATAGTGATGATGGGAGGACATGGGGATTGAAGACAATCAGATCTTTGCTGTAAGGTCAATTAAAGATTGCAAAGAAGTGGACATAGGGCTTGACCGCAGGGCAATACTGTAGGATGTTGTACTGGTAGGGATGACCTGGGGTATGTTTGTGTTTGGGTTCTTACATATATTTTTATGTATTATACCTAAAGCATAGAATTCTTGAAATTGAGGGTGTGAAGAGAAATATTAGTAATGACAAAGTTCAGGCTGTAACAGCCAGTGTTGGTTGCTGTGGTAGGGCAAAGAAAGGGCAAGATAATAGGAGAAAAGATAAAAACAGAAGGGAGCAAGAATGCCATTATATACCAGTATAACAGGAGGAGTAATGGGGGAGGGAGGGAGGAAGGAGAATGCCATTATATACCAGTATAACAGGAGGAGTAATGGGGGAGGGAGGGAGGAAGGAGCATGAGTAAGTACCTGGAAACTTTTCTAGAAGAGGTTTTTATTAGCTCTAGAAAATTAGAAGTTTTACAGGAGGAGTATCATCATAATTTTTGTATGGCTATAAGCTTACATTGAGTAAAAGCTAAAACAGCTGTTCTTAATAGTGAATGAGAGACTCATACAGAGAAAGGTGTGTGTGTGTGTATTACTAAAAGATTTAATGTGGGATGAAATAGAGTAAAACTGGGGAGCAGAACTTCAGTACTTAGGTTTACTTTTGGGAAGAAGTGGATTTACCTTTGTATGTGTAGATATATTTCTTGTTGGGAGCAGGGTCTCACTGTTTCCCTAGATGTCCTTGAACTCTTTATGTAGACCGGGCTGGTCTGAAACTTGGAAATCCATCTGCTGATTTTTAACCCCCCGCCCCCCCCGGGCTTTTCAAATATCTCCTGAGAAAGGTAACGTTCTACAGAGCAGTTCTGAGCTTGAAGCATTGTATGAAAAGGGATGCACCTGCTCGTCTTCAGTTCCAGAAAGAACTGTTTTTCTGTTGCAGTGTTCCCAGGATCCCGTGGGCCTTCTCCATGACTGAAGTGTGTGGCATGATTCTTTGCTACATTTGGATCCTGGTTCTTCTTCTTCACAAGCACAGGTATTCCCGATTTCTAAGGACTGTAAACGTCTGACTCATTTCGGGTTGTCAAGCCTGGTTCTTCCCTCTGCATTGCTCTGGAAGATTTCCCTCTGCTCAGTGTGACATAGCTTTTTACAAAAGAAAATTGGGGCTTTGGTTAAGGAAAGTTCTAAGACCAATATATTATTTAATAATATTGTGAATGTTTTTTATAGGGGAAAGGGTAGTCAGCCTTGGGCCAGTCCTTGCTAGTCTAGCCTTCTCCTACTCCTCTTACCTTCTGTTCCTCCTCTTTCTTCTCTTCCTCTCAACTTTCTCCTTTCTTCTTCTTCAAAAACAAACTAGAAATACCACTTCTTTAGAGAGATAGAAAAGCTTCCAAGGACAGTGTTAGGTTAGGTGTTTGATTGGAGGGGGGAAGCCCGTGAAGCAGCTGTTTGCCTGTCCTGCACATCTGAGATGGTGAGGTTGCTCAGTGGGGAGAGTGCTTTCACCACAAAATGCAAAAGGAAGACTTTTTTCTTTCTTTAATCACAAGTAAAAACAGCAGTCGGGTGGTGGTGGCGCACGCCTTTAATCCCAGTACTCGGGAGGCAGAGGCAGGCGGATCTCTGAGTTCAAAGCCAGCCTGTTCTACAAGAGTGAGTTCCAGGCAGCCAGAGCTCTTACACAGAGAAACTTTGAAAAACCAAAAAATAAATAAGTAAATAAATAAACACTGCCGAGAAGGCACAAAAGTAGGAAGACCTTTTTCTGCTTCTTTAATGAGACTCTCTTGATGTCAAAAAAAATAGGAAAGAAAGTCAGGCTTAGTGATGAAGAAAATTATTATAAAACTCTGTGGTTAAGCTGCTGTCCATTGATTTTAGAAGCCTGGAGAGGAATGACTGGGAGTTGTCTTGCAATTGGGGCCCTCTCCTCACCAGAAAGTTCTGTGGTCACCACATACATCCTGAGCTTAGTTATTTTAGTTTTTTGAAGGTGAAAACAAAGGTTGAGGACTGCTATTTTTGTCACATTTTGAGGCCATTTTGCCACATTTCTCATTCTGTCTTGTGTGTACTCCTATTTTAGGATGAAATGGTTTAAAAGCATTATATCACTGCTTTGTGGTTAACTTTGGCTCACAAGACCCTGTGAATTCGAATATATCCACTCTTGAAAATAAGAACAAATTTAACCTTAGAAGAAACTTTGGTAGGTGCCGTGAAGCTTAGTAGTGACCGGGTAAATCCACACAGTGGTGTTTACTTAAAGTGCACAAATCCTGGAGGCAGTGTTTACTTAGATACTTCTCAGATGTCCTCATCGTATGACATTGATGGGGTCCTCAGAAAGGTTGTTGAAGGGGGATTTCCCAAGCTCTATGTAGATGTGTACACTAAAGATTAAAACATTCCTTGCCTTGTGTTCAGAGCTGCTTTTGAGAAGAAGTCCCCCAAACACTTAGTATGTTTAGATTTAGGGCATTTGCAGAAATAATGGTACAAATGATATCACAGTTTATGATTACTCAAATTATGCTTATTCAAAGTTTCTGTTTTAGGTATACTTTATAAAACTTAGTATTACTTTCATATCTTAAGTTTAAGTTAGGGACAGCTTAGAATAACTTCATATAGCCACTCTTATCAACCATTTTAGTGCTGTTAATGAGCAAAAGTAGATTCTTGAGTAATTAACTTTACTCTGCTATAAACAACTTAAGGGGTGGGCCAGGTGACTCTGGTAAAAAGCACTTGCTGCTGTTCACAGCACTGGAGTTCAGTTCCCAGTGCCCACACTGAATGGCTCTCAGCTGCCGGTTGTAGTAATAAGAGCGGCGGGGCTGCGTCCCCAGCACCCCGCCTGCCCAGCTAGCTTATGCCCGAAATAACAACACACAAACTGTATTCATTTAATCACTGCTTGACCCATTTCTATCTAGCCTCTTTTAGGCTAATTCTCACATATTAATTTAGCCCATTTCTAATCATCTGTGTAGCGCCCCTAGGTGCGCTTACCGGGAAGATTCTAGCCTAAGTCCATTCTGGGTCGGAGCTTCATTGCGTGCATCTTCCCTGGAGCGGGGCATGGCGTCTCTCTGAGGCGTCTGCTCCCGAGAGGAGAGCTGTGGAGTCTGAGCTCACTTCCTCTTCCTCCCAGCATTCTGTTCTGTTTTCTCCACCCACTTGTGTTCTAACCTATGAGGGCCAGCCAAGCAGTTTCTTTATTTTTTTAACCAATGACCTTCCTCCATCAGCCGGTAACTCCAGTTCCAGGGAATCCTACACATTTAGCCTCCAAGGACACCTCCACATCCCTGCACACACTCACAGGCACATACACATACCTACACGTAATTAAAAAGTAATAAAATAAACCTTAATAAACCTTTTTTGAATAGTATTAATCCCAAGGCCCCCAGTATTACTTCTGTCTCTTCATTATTGATTCCAATCCCAGCCTTGGCCCCACACAAACACTGACCCATTTGTCTCTATGGTTTTCCTTTTAATACAGAACTCCTAAGAGGGGGTAAGACTTCTGTCCTTCATAAAGACTGGTGGTTTCCCCTTGCATTCTCTCTAGGAGAGTTTGGACTGTTCTCTGATTTCTGCTCTGATCACTCTGTTCACAGGTCAATCCTTCTGCGAAGGCTCTGTAGTCTGATGGGCACTGTATTTTTGCTTCGCTGCTTTACCATGTTTGTGACCTCGCTCTCCGTGCCAGGACAGCACCTGCAGTGCACTGGAAAGGTAGCCTGCTACCTTCTATATGTTCTTTATTGTTGTTTTGGATTAATGACACAATTGTGCAGGAGGACAAAGACTGTGCTTTTCATGTTAGAATGTGCTTTGATGTATTTGCAGTATCAGTAGTAAACTTGACAGAAATGGCTGGGTTAAGTGACCTTCAGCTAGACTTGTCTCCCTGTGATTCCATCAGGGAGAGTAGTTCCATGTTATGGGAAAACAATATTTTGTCTCTATTTTTCTGCTACATTTTCCCTTCCTCACTTTACTTAGCATCTTATTTATAATTTTTTTAGTATGCATTAATTATGTACCATAATGGGTTTCATTATCAGACTGTCATACATATTCACAATGCATTTGGATCACATTCACCCTTGATACACTTTAGATATTCATATGGTGTGTTCTGGTCCTTTATTGCTTCCATTGCTCCTTTTCTCATTTTTAAGATTTATTTATTATGTATAGTGTTCTGCCTGCATGTATACCTGCATGCCACTAGAGGGCACCAGATCTCATTACAGAAGGTTGTGAGCCACCATGTGGATGCTGGGAATTGAACTCAGGACCTCTGGAAGAGCAGGCACTGAGCCATCCCTCCAGCCCCCATCACTCCTTTTCTTTAAACATTTTAAGCATTTTCCAGTTGAAACTAACCTGGTACTCTGTAAACTGTCTAGAATATATGAAATATTGATATTTTTTTCTCTTTGGTTTTGGTGTGTGCTTTATAATTTCCTGTTTTATTACATTGTTGATGTATCCATTTCTGGTTAAATAGAAGACAAATTATGCTGATAGGGAACAAAAAAGGTTTATAGCTGGGCAGTGGTGGCACACGTCTTTAATCCCAGAACTTGGGAGGCAGAGGCAGGCTGATCTTTTGACCAGCCTGATCTACAAAGTGAATTTGAGGACAGCTAGGGCTGTTAGACAGTGAAACCCTGTCTTGAAGAACCAGAAATAAAATAAAAGAAGAATAAAAATAGAAAAATGAATTTAAGCTCAGTGACAGGGTGAGTGTATAATGTCCACAGGGTCCTGAGGTTCAGTCCCTTTCCCATCATCACCCCCACATACACAGGGTGAGTATATAATGTCCACAGGGTCCTGAGGTTCAGTCCCTTTTCCCATCATCACCCACCCACCCCCACATACACTCTTAGTTAATGTTAGTGTATAATGTCCACAGGGGCCTGAGGTTCAGTCCCTTTTCCCATCATCACCCACCCACCCACCCCCACATACACTCTTAGTTAATTTTTAAAAATCAATAAAATAATTTTAAGTGTTGAGGATCTCAGTTAGGCGTAGTTACACATACCTTTAATCTCAGCACTTGGGAGGCAGAGGCTGGCAGATCTGTGTTCAAGCTGAGCTCCAGGACTGTGGGACTCAGGGCTATGTAGAAAGATCCGTTTAAAAGAAACAAGACCAAAACTTGATGGTATCATATGTCCTTGGTACACAAAATTGTGAATAGTTAGATTTAGGCAAAAAAATTAATAGTCTACTTTTCAGACAGGGGACTTAATGGGCATTAACACCTTTGTTATTTCAATGTTTGTAAAACAAAATTAGGTGCCATTGCCTATACTGCAGTAGTAGAAATAGCTGGCAGGCCAATTAGGGAAGGAAGATTAAGCACCCAAAGGAGATAAGAGCTAAAAATGCTGCCCTTACGTGAAGGGCAGCTGAGTTCTCCAGGCATTAGGCATGTGAGGCTGAGCACTGAGAAGGATTGAAAGCAAATATTAAGGTTACAAACTGTTGGGGAGTTTTGTGTTTTTCAATATAGAAAAAAACATTTCTTTTCTCTGTTTTTTTTCCTTTTCCTTTTTCTTTTTGGAAACAGGGTTCTCTGTGTAGCCCTGACTGTCCTGGAACTTGCTCTGTAGACCAGGCTAGCCTCGAATTCACAGATCTGCCGGCCTCTCCTCTGGAGTACAGGGATTAAAGGCATGTGCCATCACCACCTGGCAGAAAAACATCTTTTTATTACAAAGTTGACCGTGTTTCTTGTAAGAAATCAAATTATATATAAATGTATGTTAAAAAAGCAAAAGCTTACATAGAACCCTTTTTGTCCCGACCTATAAGTAAAACTGTTAATATTTGTGCCTACTTGCACAGATCTGGCTTGGAGTTTCTTCTTTCTTTTCTCCCTCCCTTGGAGGCAGAATCTCTCTATGCAACTCTGGATAGCCTAGAACACAGGCTGGCCTGGAACTCACAGAGATTCTTCTGTCTCTGCCTCACAACTGCTAGGATTAGAAGTGTTGGCTACCTCCAGCAGCACAAATCATTTTTATGTAGAGTTTGTATTTACTCCAATAAGTTGACATTGATGGACATCCTTCAACTGAAGGATGAATTTCAAAGGTGGATCTGTAATTTAGGGTTAAGTTACTGCTGTATTATTCTTTATCTTGTATGTCTGGGTAAGGCCTGAGGTTAGTGTCAGGTTCTTTTCTTGATCAATCTCCACCTTATATACTGAGGCATTTCAGCATGCACCAGTTCAGCTAACATCCAGCGACTCTGGGGAATTCTTGTCTCCTCCTCTTCATACTGGGATTACCAATGGGTCATTGTATCCAACTAGCCTTTTAGGTTTTGTCTTGGCATGGGTTCTAGGGATCTGAACTCAAGGCACATTTGCATAGAAGCACTTTACCCATCTCCCCAGTCTCCTTAGTTACTTTTTTTGTAAAGAGCACATAGTAACTTTGTAACCTTTTTTTTTAAAAAACTGATATTTATTGAGCTCTACATTTTTCTCTGCTCCCCTCCCTGACTCTCCCCCTCCCCACTTCAACCCTCCCCCAAGGTCTCCATGCTCCCAATTTACTCAGAAGATCTTGTCTTTTTCTACTTTCTTCTACTTTGCATCTGGATTAGATCTATGTAAGTCTCTCTTAGTGTCCTCATTGCTGTCTAAGTTCTCTTGGATTGTGATTTGTAGACTGGTTTTCTTTGCTTTATGTTTAAAAAGCACCTATGAGTGAATCCATGTGGTAATTGTCTTTCTGTGTCTGGGTTACCTCACTCAAAATAATGTTTTCTAGCTCCATCCATTTTCCTGCAAAATTCAAGATGTCCTTTTTTTCTGCTGTGTAGTATTCCATTGTGTAAATGTACCACATTTTCCTTATCCGTTCTTCGGTCGAGGGGCATTTAGGTTGTTTCCAGGTTCTGGCTCTGACAAACAAAGCTGCTATGAACATAGTTGAGCACATGTCCTTGTGGCACGATTGAGCATCCTTTGGATATATACCCAAAAGTGGTATTACTGAGTCTTGAGGAAGGTTGTTTCCTAATTTTCTGAGAAATCACCACACTGACATCCAAAGGGGCTGTACCAGCTTGCATTCCCACCAGCAATGCAGAAGTGTTCCCTTTTCCCCACAACCTCTCCAGCATAAGTTGTCATCAGTGTTTTTTATCTTGGCCATCGTTACAGGTGTAAGATGGAATCTCAGAGTTATATATATATAAATAAATATATATATAAATAAATATATATTTATTTATTTATTTATTTTGGTTTTTCGAGACAGGGTTTCTCTGTGGTTTTGGAGCCTGTCCTGGAACTAGCTCTTGTAGATCAGGCTGGTCTCGAACTCACAGAGATCCGCCTGCCTCTGCCTCCCAAGTGCTGGGATTAAAGGCGTGCGCCACCACCGCCCGGCCTCAGAGTTGTTCTGATTTGCATTTCTCTGATGACTAAGGATATCGAACATTATCTTTCAGCCATTTTAGATTCCTCTGTTGAGAGTTCTCTGTTTAGGTCTTACTCCATTTTTTTTATTGGATTATGTGATCTTTTTGTGTCCAATTTCTTGAGTTCTTTGAATATTTTGGAGCTCAGACCTCTGTCTGATCTGGGTCTTCTATTCAGTTCCATTGGTCCTCCTGTCTGTTCTTATGCCAATACCAGGCTGTTTTCAGTACTGTAGTAGAGTTTGAAGTCAGTGATTGTGATGCCTCCAGTAGTTCTTTTATTGTATATGATTATTTTGGCTATCCTGGGTTTTTTGCTTTTCCATATGAAGTTGGGTACCATTCTTTCGAGGTCTTTGAAGAATTTTGCTGGGCGTTGCATTGAATCTGTAGATTGCCTTTGGTAACTTTGTACTTTTTAAGTATCCTTTCTTTCTGAAGCAGTGCAATGAACATTATCCATGTTTGCTTTTGGTTTCCAGATATCACTCAAAAATATTCATCAAAAATATTTTAAATTTAGGGGGTGTTGCCTGGTGATGTTGGTGCATGCCTTTAATCCTAGCACTCAGGAGGCAGAGGCAGGTGGATATCTGGGTTAGAGGCCAGCCTGATCTACAGAGGGAGTTCCAGGACAGGCTCCAAAGCTACAGAGAAACTTTGTCTCAAAAAAACAAAAGGAAAAAAATATTAAAGAGAGTGTGTGTGTGCACATATGCAAGTGCAGGCGTACACCTGCCTCAGCATGAGTGTGTGGTTCAGAGGACAGCTCTCGAGAGCCACTTCTCTCCTGCTGCTTGGTGAGACCCAGAAATTGAACTCCAGTCATTGGGCCTGCCCAGGAGTGCCTCTACACACTGAACCTTCTAGCTAGACCCACTCAGGCCTTTACTTATCAGAGCAAAACTGCACTGAAACAGTCATCAGTAACTGGACGTGGCAGTTCGTACCTATAATCCCAGCACTCAGAAGGCTGTGTGTGGCAAATTCAAGAACAGCTGAACCACGTAGTGCACTGATTTTCAACCTGTAGCGCATAATCTGTTTGACCCTTTTGCAGGTTGAACAACCCTTTTATAGTGCTCACATAACAGATATCCTGCATATCAATTATTTACATTACAGTTTATAACTAGCAAAATTACGGTTATGAGGTGGCAATGAAAATAATTTTATGGTTGGAGTCACCTCAACATGAGGAACTGTTAAAAGGTCGCATCATTAGGAAGGTTGAGAACCACTGCCATAGTGAATCCCACAAAGACCAGAGGTGTTGG